TTCACTTGTTGAGTGCTATGTTCAGTTAATGTGTCAATACACACTCTTCTCATGTCAAGGCTTTTGTGGATATCCTGAAGGTTGGAGATCTCAAACTTGATGCCGTACTTCCTTCGATGGAAAGTAGCGGGGTTATCGATGCAGCCATAATCCTTCTGGCGCGTCAAGGGGAAGTACGTGCTGCAATGGACCGGCTGATCAAACACCTTGGAACCCTTGAGGCTGGCCTGTCAGGGTTATTGCAGAACGCAAATGAAAGCCCTGATTCAGCAAGCATGGCAGAAGCGGTCGTTGATCTTATCCAGTCCTTGGATAAATATACTCATGTTGGAATATGGCTCTGTCAACAGCAGTCGAATGCGTCTAGACAATCTCGGGGCGGCGGCAAATCGAATAAAACGGGTGCGGCAACTCCCAAGCTAGAGCTATCGTTCGAGGAGAATCTTTGGCTCGATCTTATTGAAATGGTAGTCCGCATAGCTCGTAATATGTCTTCTTTGCTGAGGGAAAGTTCGCCCGACATCGCACGAGATACCCTGAATCTTAAGCCCGATGACACTAGACCTGGCGAGATTTCCTCATTCTTCCGGGTACTTGTTCAACAGGTGTTCACTGCTCTGTTGACAAGCACCACAAAATCCGGCGACAGACCCAGTGGAAAGTCCGACATGTCCTTTTTACTCATTTTGCGAGCGTTTCTCACGCGAGTAGCTGCTGCTTCACCATCTCTTTCAGAGCTTCGATCTGTGATTGCATCAATATTTTCTGCATACACTTATGAGGAATCTCTACTCTCCCTCGCTAATGCAATGCTAGACAAGGACCTTTTTGTGCATGTAGACGAAATTACTAAACTTCGTCAACGAGGGTGGAGACCGCGAGGGCAGGTCTGCGAAGTTTGTCGACGACGAGTCTGGGGTCCCGGATCAGGTCCTTGGCTGTGGGAAGAATGGCAAAAGAAACAAGAGGATGACGCGAAGCGCCGACAGGCAAGGAGGCTTGACGTTGTCGGAAGGACGAATCTACATTCATACGGAAAGGGTAAGGAACCAATGCCGCGAGGCCATGCGAATGCACACACCCCGAGACAAAATACCAACCAGACGACGCAGTTTGATGGTAATGGACAACATGCAGATCGATTACAGGAGGATCCTGGGCAGGATACTGGACCCTTGGTAGTGTTTGGTTGCCGACATCTCTATCACCGAACGTGTCTGGTGAAAGAGGCAGAGAAGCGGGGCATCCGTGGTCAATCCGCACCCAGTCATCATGCTGATGGGTTGGATTTGGCTTGTTTGATCTGTAGAGCACCAAAATGAGAGGAACAGTTTCTCCTTGCCCGTTGTCCATCCTGTTTGTCAGTCGTGACCTACCTTGTTCGTCCTTTGAGTTCAGCCACTCCTCCGTGTTAATTCCGACCCATTTCCACAAACCAACAATTCCGCAATTTTTTTTTTTTTTTTTCCTTTCTCAAAATCTCACAGATTTGTTTCTCCATCCCATCCCTTTTTCGTGACTATTGTTTGGCGAGTCATGGTCCCATTACGAGTTACCACTATTATTTACTAGAAGAACTCCCCCACCCTTTGTATGAAATGACTTCTGGCTCAATTACATACATATATAAATGAATGTCGTTGTCGTGTGGCACTGCATATATCTGGCTCTCCATTTATTCATGCTATGTGCGTGGTGGCTTGCATCGCACTTTTCTTAGTTGGAGCCATTATTTTGATGTCTGGAATAGATAATACTACATTATTTTCATTATTTGAAAAATAAATAAATAAAAAAAAAAGTCTGCATTGCTCTCTTTATGGCCAGGACAGGAATCCGGACCTACAGATTCTCGCACATGGGGGAGAGGTTGTCGAAGTGGATTGATCTCTGCACAGCATCCAATCAGCGGGTTGGACTCCCAAATGTCAATGAGCCAGTTATATCCAAACATCACACGAGGAACAAGCGTGAAGTGCTATTGACCATTGCGCCTCAAGCCATATCGCCAAAGGTTCGGTGGCGCTTTCGCTTCAAGAATTTTCTTATGGTTTTTTAGCCATAAACTTTTCGACTAGGCGGGGAAACTAGGGGTTTTGGGGAGACGGTTACGCCGCAGAGCTGTTGGTGAGAGTTTTGCTTGCTTCCTGGCTCGCAAAGTTGCCAATTAATTATTGTGATTTATTCTACTGAGCGTATCTGGTGGTAGTGAGTGCTCTTTGTTCCCGTTGGATGCCGACGCAGGGGCTTAGGGCTGGAGACTCCCTGAACCGGATGTCACCTTACCCCCCCCCCCTCCCCCGGCGTAGATTTCCAAGAGGTAACCCCGCTTAGGAACGATTTTGCCTGGTGAAAGTCTATTGCTTGGAATTCTCTGAAAATTATGGAAGGAGGCGCTACTGCGTGTCGAGCAATCAAATAGTGTGATGCTGGAGTTTTGGCGTGGATTTGTTTGTCCCTCGGCCCCAGTTCTAGACCTTCTGTCCAAGCCTCGGGGCAAATCTCCGACATTCAAGTGTTGGGGCACGTGACAACAGCCAACCCTAGGTACGATGGGAGCCTCAACTTTAATTCGTCCTCTCGATGCCACTCGTAGCGGAAAACCCACTGCGTAGACAGTAAGATATTCGGCGAATTGATCCTGGTCGTGATGGTATTATTTCTTCAGGCTCCTGCATCTCCTTGACAACTGGCGTTCCAGGATCCCCGCTAGCCTACGCGCCTGGGGCGAGAGGAATGCGTCGTCAGTCAGGGGCCATCCTCCACTGATTGGCCCCGTTCCTGAATTATCTGTCCATGCCTACCCGCCAAGCACGTCCGCATTTCCACCAGCGCTTGAATTCTTTCTTCATGACTTCGAGAGAAGTGGGCAGTTGGGTTGAAGTAAGCAGCAACATGTTCCACGGAGAACATGGCTGTGCAGTTTTGTGATCTGATCTTTGTTTCATTCGATATCCAATTGCGCGAATTCCTTTTGATTCTGTTTCAGCTTATTTCAACATGGTATGATCCACTACTCCGATTGCTGGAAGAATTTTAGATTGAGGCCCCGCCTGGGTGAGTTGCCCAGACCTCAGTGGGTTCGTACGGAGAAAGATACGGATCTCTTTAAATTACCCTTGTGCCTTCGCTCCCAAGACCTGAAGGGCTGTGGCTCTTGACATGGCTTTCGATGTCTTACGCTACTCCGCTGTAGTTGGAATAACTCACCCAACCGCTGGAAACTTACCCCTACATGCTTTCCACTGGCGCCGCTTCATGAACTAATTCAGGAACGTTGGCTGTTTGTTGTCAGGGCCAAGCTGCTCTTATAACCGAAGATGGCCCCGGAAATTTGGCATGGTGGAATGCTCGACCCTTCCCCTTCATTGCGGTTTTTCTTTCATTGCTAGTTTTTTTCTTTCAGTCAAATATACACACTCCTTCTGGGTAGACACAGTTGCAGGCATTGCAGCTATTCCATTCTTTCACCAATCCTAATTGGATATCCGCTCTTTTCCTTTGAGGAGGTTGCGTCTCTTCACTCTGTCAACGGCATATGGACCTTTCCTTTCCATGTGAATACCAGTGTTAACATCATTTGTTCCAACCGCAACACAACAATATGAGGACCACCAAGCTCACTTTGCTGGCTACTTTGGCCAAGCTGAGTGCTGGCACCTACGTACTCAAAGACGATTATCAACCCTCGAACTTCTTCGACAACTTTAATTTCTTCAACGTAAATCTCTCTCCTCCCTTCTTGTAGCCCGACGCTTGGTGTTCTCAACTAACTGCCTCACAGGGGCCTGACCCAAGTAACGGCTATGTTACTTACCTCGACAAATCCAACGCAGTGAACAATGGGCTTGCTTCAAACGAAAACGACTTCGTCTATCTGGGGGTTGACTCTAAGAATGTTGCAAAGGGACTTGGCCGTGAGAGCGTCCGTCTGGAGACCAAGAAAACTTATAAACATGGTCTGATTGTGGCCGATATCTCCCACATGCCTGGTGGGATCTGTGGAACCTGGCCTGCGCTGTAAGTCCTAGCCCCTTCCATCTTGTCGATACCCATCTGCCTCGCAAAATTCTAGCCCTCCATATCTAACCACCCTAACAGGTGGTCAACCGGGGCTACATGGCCTGAAGATGGCGAATTCGATATAATCGAAGGCGTTAATTCACAAACAAAGAATGTGGTTGCATTGCACACCACGGCAGGATGCAAAGTAGAGGACAATTCCAATTATAGCGGAGAACTCGTCACCAAAGACTGTGATATCAACTCTCCAACTCAGCCGGGCAACCAAGGATGTTTATTCAGGGCCCCTAGCTCCATGTCCTACGGAAATGCGTTCAACAGTATTGGAGGAGGTATATATGCGGCTGAGTGGACTACCGATTCCATCAGCGTCTGGTTCTTCCCCCGCTACCGAATTCCCTCGAATATCAATGGTGAACACCCAGATCCGTCCTCCTGGGCCAGGCCAATCGCGCATTTCACGGGATGCGAATTTGACAAATTCTTCCAAGAACAGCGTATTGTACGTGTTTCTAAACAGTCTGCTGTCCTTTCAAAATCCTTTTTTAGCCCTGAATTAACCGAAAGCTATTTCCTGTCTGCAGATCATCAATACCGCCTTTTGTGGTGACTGGGCTAAAAATACCTGGAGCCAAGATGCCAAATGCGCTGCGAAAGCTGACTCCTGCGAAGCCTACGTCCAGAACAACCCTTCCGCGTTCAGCGAAGCCTACTGGTCCATCAACTACATGAAAGTTTTCCAGGACGAGGTTGTTGACTACCCAGGCGACTCAACGACTACTACCACTTCAACCACAGCATCGCAGACGGATTCAACCGAGCCTACCACTACCACTACCACTACCACTACCTCCACGCAGCCCGCTGACACCGGTGCTACTTACACTGATTCTTCGCCCTCTACCTCCGCGACTAACGAGTATCCTACCGGAAGCGCCTCTGTGGAGCCAACTGACATCGCCTCCTGCACACCACCACCAACGGAGAGCTGCATAACCTATACTACTAAAACGACAATCGCGGTTGTGGTGACCCCAACAGGCTACAATGAAGCGATAATTCCCATTCCAACAGAATCAGCCGAGCATCAGACGGAACCTACTGAAAACCCGACCGAGCCATCTGAGTATCCCACAGCGCCAGTCGGGTTTCCCACAGAGCCAATCGGGTATCCCACAAATGATCAAGATGTCCCGCTGGAGCGACGACAGCACATCAAAAAACACATTGCTGGAACACATCATTGATTGGTAATTAAAACGAGCTATGCATCCCCTTTTTTTTTTCGTAATGGCTCCGTTTTATTTTTATTTCTGTGATCTCTTTACTCCTTTTCTGTTGTTCCTCCTGCCCTGGACGAAGGTCAGGGAGCGGCTTTGACCTATTTTGTTTCAGGGACGGTTAGTAATGTGTTGATAATGCTTTTTATTATATTGATTATATTTCTTTTTTCTCCTGCCTGTTTGAGTAAATGTTTCTTAGAGTGAAATAGAAATGAAAGGATTACAGCTCTTTATGCTTGGGTACCACCATTTGTATAACCCCTCCAATGTTTATAGGGGTAATCTGAAACAGAATATCAAGCAAGGATAGTGATACACAGAGAGGTCCTTTTATCTTTGCGGTTCCTTTCTATATCCAGATGGCTTACATATCTCCGTACAGAACAAGCTATGAAATTTTTGACATGCAAGCTGCATGGAAACCCTGTCGCCCCCATTTTTTCTCTCTTCTTAAGTATCGTATTGTAACTGTGCCCAGCGCCCTCGCTCCCTCCCATTAGTGAGTGCGCCCCTCTATAAAGGAATTCACTCCGTAACAGAATTGGTATCTTTTGTATGGATTCACCATATAAACAGTACTTATAGAAAAACATGAATATCTTCAACATCATAATAGATATGAGTTCTATATTATAATAGAAGTATATATATCATATTTCAAGTATATTAAAATATTTTTTTCTAAATAAAAATATATCTGAAATGAAATTTGCTAAATTTATTCAAATTCATCATAGCAGATTTAAGTACAAGACCAACTGAA